TGAGATATCTTGGGAAAGTCTTATTCTTATAAGTTTTACTTTTCCATCCCTTTTGAAAAGCACGTCTTTATTTGATATTTTGGTATGCTCATTAAGTTCCTTGTATCTTCATTATATATTTTGTATCTTGACATCTTTACCTGTACATTCTCATTTCCCAGAGGAAGGCCAAGAAGGCAGTTGAAGCTATGCTTACAAGATCTAAAGAGGGTGTGAAAATTGAAGACGAGAACCTCACTGAAGAACAAAGAATTGAAAAAGAACAAAAGGAACTTGTACCTCTGCTGACTGGTGGAAAATTGAAGTCTTATCAAATCAAAGGTGTAAAGTGGTTGATCTCATTATGGCAAAATGGTCTGAATGGGATCCTTGCAGATCAAATGGGACTTGGAAAAACTATCCAAACCATTGGTTTTCTTGCTCATCTAAAAGGGAATGGAATGGATGGGCCCTACTTAGTGATTGCTCCTCTTTCTACTCTTGCGAATTGGGTAAATGAAATTTCGAGGTAAATTGTTTATTTACTTTTTGTTTAACTGATCTGAATTTTTTTTCATCCTATGATTTTCCAACTTTGATTCCTCATTTAACTTCTTTTTACCCCAAATAGGTTCACACCTTCAATAAATGCTATTGTCTACCATGGTGGCAAGAAACAAAGGGATGAGATACGAAGGAAGCACATGCCTAGCAAAATTGGCCCTAAGTTCCCTATAATTGTTACTTCGTATGAAGTTGCAATGGCTGATGCAAGAAGATGTTTAAGACATTACAGTTGGAAATATCTGGTGGTTGATGAAGTAAGTAATCTAACAAGTCCTACAGATACAGTTTCCCCTTCAAACCAACTATATAGCATGAATGTTGAACTTTTATGCATCTGTTTATTAAAGGGTCACAGATTGAAGAACTCAAAGTGCATACTGCTGCGGGAATTGAAACATTTACGTGTAGACAATAAGATTCTGTTGACTGGGACGCCTCTACAGAATAATTTGGCAGAGCTTTGGTCATTATTAAACTTCATTTTGCCTGATATATTCTCATCCCATGAAGAATTTGAGTCATGGTAAGTATAATTTTCTGATTAATTATTATTTCTTCAGTTTGATGGTTGTTAGCTTGCAACTTGTTCGTCTAGTGAGGTGGACATCCCACAAGTAGTCTGGTTGACAACTTTCTGCCCCTCAGAATCTGCATAATGCAACTAAAGTACCATTGCACATGTATAACTAGAGGAAATGAGCTTCTAGCCTACTTAAATATTAGATTTTAGAAATCCTGTGATGAAGGTTAGCTGTTTAAGAACCATGCTATATGTTGGTATATTTTGCCAGTGCCACTTAGTACAGTGTAGTTGTATATCTCTTCACTTGTAAGTGAGAGGTCTTAGGTTCGAATCTAGTGTAAATATATTGTCTTATAAATAAAAAAGGTCCATGATATGTTAGGTGAGTAATTTTTGTAGAAAACTTGTGAATTTACTGTGTGGCTAGATTGTGTTAGTTTGTTGGATGAAAAAATTACGACAGATAATGGTTCTAATATTACTTGAGCCCATCAATTAGCTTACTTCAATCATGTTGTCAGGTTTGATTTGGCAGGAAAGTGCAGTAATGAGGCAATGAAGGAAGAATTGGAAGAGAAGAGAAGGGCTCAAGTATGTGTTCTTGCAAATATTGTGGCTTAAAATCTTGCACAAATTTGAATTGGGTGATGTTGAATTGGTGTTCCATTGTCTGCAGATGGTTGCAAAACTCCATGCCATCTTGCGTCCTTTCCTTCTTCGAAGAATGAAGTCTGATGTTGAGCACATGCTTCCTAGGAAAAAGGAAATCATATTATATGCATGCATGACAGAGCATCAAAAACATTTTCAAGATCTTCTGATCAATAAGACATTGGAGAATTATTTACTTGAGAGGGGAGACCATGGTATGATATCTGTCTTTGCTGTGAAATTTTTGGACTATAAATTCCTTGTGAGAAATCTGGGGTCTTAATTACTTAATTACTTTAATTAACTAAGGCAGTTAAGGAGGTGGATTATTGGTGGGGCTTGTATTTTTGCCATGGTTTTAGGATTTATGATAGACTAGCTATTTGAATCTTTCTTTTTTTCACTGCGGTAACACATTTTGTAATGTGCCTGTTTTATGGTTCTTAACCTTAATCAGGATATTGGACAAAGGTATACTATGTATACTTTGGCATGGTGTTGAAATGTGATGGTTAGCTTGGTGTCTTTTACTGTATCATATTATGCTGCAATCTGTGTTATTTAACAATTCTTAAACTTGCAGTTTGTGGTATGAAAGGAAAGCTTAACAATCTGATGGTCCAACTTCGGAAGAACTGCAATCATCCTGACCTTTTGGAGTCTGCATTTGATGGCTCATGTACTTTGCCTTTAATTGATTCAGTTTTATTATATCAAATAGGTGCTATACCAATGCTTATGCAGTTTTTTTTTTTTTTTTTTCGTCTTGACAGATTTCTACCCGCCTGTTGAACAGATTGTTGAACAGTGTGGAAAATTTAGTTTGCTGGACCGGCTGTTAAAGCACCTGTTTGCCCGCAAACACAAAGTATGTCTACCAATTATTTTTGGATTTGTTTTAGTTTGTTACCGGGTTGCTAATATCTTGAATTTGTATTCAGGTTCTTATCTTCTCTCAGTGGACTAAGATTTTGGATATTATGGACTACTATTTTAGTGAGAAAGGATTAGAAGTTTGTAGAATTGACGGCAATGTGAAACTTGAAGATCGGAGAAATCAGGTCTGTGGTTGGTTGGAATCAGAACTCTTAATTTTTCGTTTGAAATTTTCGAAGTTGAGTAGTTGATGTATGCAATCTCCTTCTTTGGCCACATTAAAACTAGACTTAATTTTCCACAATGTAGCAACCCTTGTTTTCTCGGACTTCTGCAATGTAACATAATGGTTCAATCAAAGCATAACTGCCAAAATAAATGTGGTTATGCCATCGGAATATATTTCTTGGCAGCTCAAACCTTCAGTTCGTGCCATAGATTAGTGTTCTCACAGTATGTAGATTTGGGAGTTTATTTTCTCATTGCCCAACTTGTTTGCATACTCAAATTTGGTTTTCCCCTCCCCTTGGGTTCAGCGCTTACTTTTGAACAACTATAGTTTAATTATAACTATTCTATTCCTGAAAGCAGATTGCAGTGTTCAACGACGTGGACAGCAATCATAGAATCTTTCTTCTAAGCACCAGAGCTGGTGGACTGGGTATCAACCTTACTGCAGCTGATACTTGTATACTGTACGACAGTGATTGGGTATACACTGTCTCTGTTTAATTCTTTCTTTGATTCTTCTGCTGCAATTAAAGATCCATGAATGATTGTTTTCATTTCATATATTGCATGTGCATACCAGAACCCTCAAATGGATTTGCAAGCCATGGATAGATGTCACAGAATTGGTCAAACGAAGCCTGTTCATGTTTACAGGTTGGCAACAGCACAATCTGTCGAGGTAAGCTGGTGTTGCTTGCAGCTTTTTATATGTACCTGGGTATATTTTATTTTGTTATTGTTAAAAATTTCGGAGAAAATGTTGATTAACAGGGTCGGATTCTGAAAAGAGCTTTTAGCAAGTTGAAGCTTGAACATGTGGTGATTGGGAAAGGGCAGTTCCATCAAGATAAAGCGAAGAGTAGTACTGATTTCCTGGAGGTTAGTTGCCCTTTGTTTGTTATGCTGAACTGAATTAGACAATCAATTTACGCAGTCTGATGCTGTTGATGCATGAATCATCCAAGCTCTTTCTTTTTATCTCAATCGTAATTTCGTAAGTCTTCAATGGTCTGAGCTGAAGTCAGTCAGGTTAATCAGGATCTCGCTAATTTTTTAGTTGTGCTAAATTTGTTTCAGGAAGAGGATCTTGTAGCATTGCTCCGAGAGGAAGAATCTGCTGAAGACAAGATGATACAGACAGTTGTCAGTGACGAAGATTTGGAGAGGGTGTTGGATCGCAGTGATCTAATGGGCAGTCCTGCTGATCATGAAGAAGAGAAGGCCAATGGTGTTGCCAATGTTCTTCCCCTCAAAGGCCCGGGTTGGGAGGTGGTGCTGCCTACTGCAGGTGGAGGCATGCTCTCCACCCTCACTAGTTAAATTTTAACAGCATTCGGATGTTGAACTTGGTAGGGTTAGTCGGTTTATTGAAGTCCGATGACTTTGGATGTTTTTTGAGTTAGGGGTAATGAGTATCGAAAAGCTAACCCCCGATGAGCCGAAATGGAAGGGCTCGATCATTTTGTATATGATCGAATCGAGCTCTACTTTGCAATGGAATGTCCAAGTTCCATTCCAAGACACTTGTTGAAGTGTAATTTTAATGCGAAGGACAGCTTATTTCATGTTATTAGGAGTTTAACGAATGAATGTTATTTTTCTTTGATTTTGTTTCGTTAATAAATGGATGTGTAATATTGTTGTGTTCGCTAATAGTCAATTGTTTGATCCATTAACGTGGTCGTTTAGCTTTACACAAAAAATGAGTATGCAATGCTATAAATCAAAATATATCAAGGAAAATTGACTAAAATCCTAAAATCCGGATTCTCTTTGTGAGAATTTGTGAATTGTATTCGTTCATCGTATATCGTGTGATTATTAATTATTTTAAATATTTTTATTTAAAATTAAACACAAATCGTATTTGATAAAAATTAACTACAAAGTAAGTGTACAATGAGCGGACGTAATTCACAATTCTTCAGAATTCTTACTAAAAAGATTCGAAGAGGATCTGTTGGAAAATCCCATATCTGTTAATTTCAATTCCCCATACTTCAAATCCTAAACGTTTTTTTTATCAATGATAAAATATTTGGCAAAAAAGTTCCATTGCCGGGAATCGAACCCGGGTCTCCTGGGTGAAAGCCAGATATCCTAACCGCTGGACGACAATGGATAATTGTGTTAGTGAATGTACTGTTTTACATAATAAATGTATAAGCTAACCCTCCCGGCAACTGAACTTTTTCTCTCTTCCCTGAACCGGGAAAATCGAAGAACAGTCCAGAACTGGTCTAACTCGTTGAGTAACTCGGAGAGCAGCAGATCCAGTACAAACCTCTTGGTACCTCTCTATACTATTACTCCCACCTCTTCTATTTATCTAATTTCTCAGAAGAAAAGATTACATTTTTTTGCACAATCTGAAACTGGTTAATTACTGGTTGGCTTGTTATATGCTGAAACATGTTCGGGGTTTAAAATTTGGTGGATTTTTAGTTGGGTGTTTAGGTTTCTGAGAATCCCATGTTCCTGAAACTTGAAAACGTTGTTTAGTTACCATCATCTTTGTCTTGGTGGAATACTCAGGTGTTTTACCAAATGCATTTGCTGGAGAAAAAGCTTTGGCCCAACACTAAAAGGGGTCGACCACAACCATGCGTATTTGTTGCTGTTTAAAAAGGGAGATAGAGACTTGACAGCGACTTGGAAATGATCCATGTCCTTCGAGATAATGCCTGGTGGAATCATGGGATTTTGAGGTTGCCTTTTTTGAGTTGCACTACCTTGTCTTTATTTGGTGTGTGAGGGTCATGGAATCATGGAGTTGGCATGCCTAATTTGGTTTCCAGTTTACAACTCCACTGTTTCCACAACGTTTGAGCAGTAACAATTAGTTAATAATGTCGTAGATTTATCCGGTTATATTTCCTCCCCCTTTTCCTACCTAATGTATTTCATGAGAACCTTTTGTTGTTTTATCTGCATTGTTCAAAATTTTATCGCTTCTCCGATGCCTTTGGTGCGTTAAACGTCTCAAAATTATATCAATATGATGCAGGGGACTGATACTGCTGTGGCTATCTTTTCGGCCTTAGTTTTCCCTGTACTCTTTCAGGAAAAATCTTGAGTAGTTATGTAGTTTTATGCTTTGGCATCTCTCCTTGTAACATCGGCAGGCTGTGGCCATGATAAGGGAAACAAGATTTTGTTGACATTATCTATGTGATCATGTATTGACAGCTCATTTAGTTTGTGGTTAAAAGACTCATTGCTCACATTTGATCCATTGGATATTAGTTGATGTTACTGAAGCCTTAAGTGATAGTCTTGGTCCACAAGCTCTTGGATTACTCTTTCTGGAATAAATGATTACGTTTTGTAGTCAAACCTTACAACTCGTACACAAACTAAGAGAATTACAATTTGCTCACATATGCACACACCATAAATATGAACCAAGTTTGGAGGCTACTTCCTGTCGATCATTTTTCTGTTTGGTTTGTAGTTTTGTTCCAGGTGAAGAAACTTTGTTTTTGATTGTTCTGTTGACGGGGTCAGTTTGTTCTTCAGGTTTAAGTTTCGTCTTCCAACTGAATTATAAAAATTAGAACTTATGTAGAAAGTTTGAATGATACATCGTTTCATGATACCGTATGTGTTTTTTTTGTTGTCAGAAATTATTGTGGGATGAGATGTTTATGTCTGTATTTTTCCCATGCTTTTTCCCATGCAGCTCAGCATGTTACTCTGCATAACTTCCGTATCCCTGAAGTAAGAAGATCAAGGTGCTCCACTAATTCTACAGTTCTACCTTGGGTTATTAGCACGAGGAGAAAAGTTGAATTGGGTAACATAAATTAATTACTTTTCAAAAGGCGCCTTATTTAGAAAGTAAATCGGTAACAACTTTAGATGTTGCGTGCATTCGTACTATGATTTATCAAATCCATGTTTAGCCTTTTATTATAACTTTGTTTCTCGGGGAATAATGTTCAATTATCATAACAGGTGCAGTTTTAGAACTATTTTAGGCTGTTTTGCGTTGCCTTTGTCAAGACACAGACTAGAGAGAAAGAAAAAAACATAAAAAAACAGAAAGTCTGATATATATTTCTTCTAATATGTCAAAATTTTAGTTTGTTTATCTTTTAGAATTGTTAATTCAAATTACATATTTGAATTCTTTAACGCTGGAAAAGACATAGATTGCACTGTTGTACCAAGATCTGCACATCATAGGATAATGTAAGTTTTATGTTATCTCTGTAATTGCATCCAATTAACTCAACTTCTGAATTGATGCTCTATTGATTTCTAATATGTGTTTTTCTTTTAATGTAATAAAAGGGAGAGGAGGATCAACCAATAGCAATTTTAGTAACCCCAACGCGAATGCATTTTTTGCTTGTATATCATTTTTCATGCACCTGTGTTTTCTTGGTCCCCCACCTACAGGACTGCATTGTTTCTTTTCCTTCAAACATGGCCCAAGGTCTAGTATGATGAACTAGGGAAGAAGAAAAGGTAGAAATAGAACGAAAACTGAGTGCTGTCAGTGGCGTACGAATGTCATAATTGCTTTAAAGTAATAAGTAAATGGCCCCAAGCATGCCCAAGTTATGCAGGATTTCTTTTATCTCAGAAGAGTATGAGTAAGAACTATGCAACAAATTATTGTTGTCGAATACTGCTTTTGTTTCTTGTTGTTACAGTTGAAGTTCATATCATTTATTGCTTTAGTGTGCCCTTGGATAGAATAGATTGTTCCATGAAGCTCTATTTGATTATATCATTCTAATACTCGAAAGAGATTAGACGTATATAGCCTGTTTGCTTTTAGCAGTTGGTGCCACTTGGAGACTGCAATTACCCTAACCCTAAAACCCAAAGGTAAGGATGATGATGGGGTTGCCCACTAAACCAAAAAAAGGAGAAGGTTTTTATTATATGACCCGAAATGGTGTATTCTGGGTGGGAAAAAGGTGGAAGTAGTGGCAAGAAACTTTATGGAACATATTAGTCGTATCAAACACTGTTTTTCCACTGAAGTACGTTCTTCGTCTGCATTTCTTCTAATCGATTGGAACATTTTAGTTGTATTCAAATATAGAAAACCCTAGAAACCGTCACTGCTAAAAACTTCGAACCATTTGTGAAGATCCGTCTGTTACAGTAGTGTTCAATTAGTTCATAGAGTCCACTGAAATTTCCCTTTCTAGGCACCTGGACTTTTTGCAGGGGTTTAGCTCAACTTAGAACAAAACATGAGTCATCTGCTGTATGTTAAAGACCAAACAAATGATGTGGATTTTGTATGTTTCAGAGGAAACACAAACAATGCAAAATTCAGGTTATGGATTATGATAGATGATTCATCCAGAACAAGATAACGCTATTTTATAAAACACCTGTACTCTTTAGTCTAATGCTCTAATACTATTAGGTCTAGCTGTCATGAGATTATTAGCCTAACCACGTATTTAGCTGATAAGAAAGTGCAAATACTCGGTTAAATTTCACGAAAGGCCGAAATTTTCGGCCAATTAATGATTCTCTTCCCACTAAGTCTAAATTAATCTACATCTTTGTTGTATCTTTAGCTTATACTGGCCTAAGAATGCCATCATAGAAAACCCTTTGATTAATTGTTGTATTAAATAATGATTATATATGATAAATTAAAAAATTATGGTGTTAATGTGTTGATGTATTCATTCACTTTGTCTTTGTGTATTGAGGGGACCATGTGTTGCTGCTTAGCAGAAAGGGAAAGTTCACCCCTTCTTTTCTTTCTTTTGTGCTGGAATGTTGGTGTTCTGAGCTGCTTTTATTGATGGTTTTACAAATTTTTAATTCGCAGAATTGATAACCACACACCGTTTTTCTCCCTCGACGCTCATGTTTGATTTTGCTTCTTGTTTCTGTTAGATTTATTCAATCCGATGAGTCCATATAATCTCCTTTTTAACTTTTTTGACTTTTTTGGCTCTATGTTTTGCTTTGCAGAGGTAGGCCTATATTGCCTTGATTATGTATTGCTTAAAGCCTCCCCCCGTGTGGCACATCTTTATGAACTTTGGTTCTTCTCCAATACATTTCCAGAACCCTGTTTCTGCAACTTTTGTTCTGTCAGTGCTTAGAAAACGAAATCATTGGAACACTTTGGATCCTTCAATCTTTATCTTTCTGTTTTTCCTATTTTTTCTTATATGGTACATACTGCTTAGTGGTCCGAAAATCAACAGTTTAAATCTTGCATATGAATTGTAAACCGTACTATTGAGTGGGACGTAATATTGTAGCCAAACCCCAACAGAAGTGGGTTCTTAGTAATATGTATTGATTATGGTAACATTGTTTCTTTTCTTTTTGTTCTTTGGTCGAGCGGATGGATTTGAACTTGGGATCTCTTCAAACTTTAAGAAGAGAGAAATTTCTATATAAGTCATTGTAAATGATAAACTTCCAACTCAAGATTTTCCCATGTTTATAAGATGTAGGAAAATGTTCCTTTCTTACTATTCTTTACATAAGATAAAAACTTGGGTCAAGATTTTCCCCTGTTTGTTAGGATCATGTTCAATATAGTAGAAATTCCAAAAGGCAACCTTACCTTTTCAAAACCCTTGAGGCAAACTTTCCTTTGTTTTTAACCTAATTCAATATGGTTCTAGTTTGCCTCGTCTCTTGAATGAGATAGTCTAATTAGGACAACTCTTACATCGTCTGGAGTTTCAATAAGAGATGTCCTACCAATCATGTGGTTGGAAACTCAGTACAAGTTTTTCTCTTCGTGAAGATGCTCTAACAAGCGTAGTTAGTGTTTCGTATAATACAAAAAGTGGAATGGATGATGCCGCATGTTAAAACGAGAAGACATACATAATGGTGAATCATTAGTGAAGCAAGAGCAAACGGTCAGCCATGCAAATTCAAAATTGTTATCTCAAATGTGGTCCTGCAACGCAGAGAGCCCTATTTATCTGATTGATCAAGCAATGGAAGGAAAAAAAAACTAGTAAATCGGAGGGCAAAGCAAACATCATTATTTTTTTTTTTGGACGTTAAAATGTCCAACCCACGTTTAAATTGCACAGAAAATTAACAAAGCTATGACCATAATATTGGTAGGTAAATTTACATTGTTGGTCCTTGTAATTTGAGAAATTTTTCATTTTAGTCCTTTAGTTTTAATTTTGGCAATTTTAGTCTTGTATGATGATGCATAAAATTGGATCAACAAAATAGTAAGTAAAGTCCATCCAAAGTACAAGTAGTGATGAAAATGTAATCTGAAATGGTACTTGGGTGATACTAATCAACTACTCTCCGATGATATAGTCATGTATTTACAAAGATTGTACACAAGGGAATGTTGACGTCATTTGCAAGCATTGTAAGAAAGGAGTATGGACCAGACGTCGTGGATGTATTCTTAACCTTTTCTTCTGCCTGGTTGGCTAAGCATGGTCGTCTTTGTTCCATATATTATGAACTTTCAACACAAAAAAAAGGAATTTTAGGGTTTAGGAACGTTCTTACAGAGTCATTACACTTCAAATGTCAAGTTAGTCGTGTATGATATATGCACATGTTGACATGTCAAATTTTCCGTCTTCACTTATAATGGGCTAAGTAACTGGTGACCAAGATTGCCCCAATAGATCGGAAGAGGATCCGGCCCGAATCTCTCCCATCAAAGGTTCAAAATCAAGTGATCCTACCGGTTGAAATTTGATCCAACGGAACCTGCACAGCCCAGTTGAGGACCCAGTCACCCAAATGATCCCACTTTATACTGTACTTTCGACCAACTTTGACTCAACTGACTAGTTCATTTTCTTTCTCCAAATTGCACTTTTGGTTAGGTAGTTTGAGTAATTTTCCACTTAGTTTGGAACCTTGGATTCTGGCCATTTTAGCCATGTAATTGTAGTTGGTCTATTGGTTGGTCTATTGGGAAGAGGATCCGGATCTCTCTCATCAAAAGCTCAGGATCAAGTGATCCAGATTGTTAAAATTTGATCAAACGGCTACAAACAGGAAGTCTTTTTAAAGTTATAATAATTGTAACCGTTGTATTAAATTTCAACGGGTATGATCACTTGATCCTGAACCTTTGATAGGAGAGATCCCGGATCCTCTTCCCAATAGACTAACCAATAGACCAACTACAATTACATGGCTAAAATGGCCAGAATCCAAGGTTCCAAACTAAGTGGAAAATTACTCAAACTACCTAACCAAAAGTGCAATTTGGAGAAAGAAAATGAACTAGTCAGTTGAGTCAAAGTTGGTCGAAAGTAAAGTATAAAGTGGGATCATTTGGGTGACTGGGTCCTCAGCTGAGCTGTGCAGGTTCTTGGAGCATCGTGCGGCCACGTTTGTGAGGCGAACCCGCTCGTGAGCAATGATTGATTGAACTAGTAACCATCCTTGGTTTGCACAATCATCATCATCTTCTTTCATGGGCTCACCACAGTCAGCAGTCAGCAGTCAGCAGTCACCACTCACCACTGACCTGTGGACCTCCCCTCTCCCTGCTATCTGCACCTCTTCTGCCCTTATGTCAACACTTAACATACATCAATTTCGAAAGGGCAACTTGTATGAAATGGTTACTAATTCAATAGCGTTTTATGTGGATAATAGGTTATTCGAGTGTATTTAAATAGGTATTATGTTTATATATAGATTTCTACATCATAAAAATTTCATCTAAGATTAGGAATAAGACGTAAATAAACATGCTCATATCTCTTGTATTTGGGATGAGACCCTATTCACCTCATCTCTTTGGCCTCCCGTTGAATTGAAAAACCTTTTGATTGTTCATCCTTTTGATATAATAATGTATCAGTTTTTTTTTCAAGTTGTTAGAAATAAATCTTATATTAATGAGATAAAAGATTTTGTATGAGTTTATAAGTAATTAATTATTAATTTACTTCTTATATTGTCAATTATTTTATAATAAAACCTTATTTATTCTTGTATTATAAATACGAGACATTACTACGACATGATAGTTGTGACCTATAAATAATTATTCAATTTAAGATTCTTCCACAATGCACCGAAACCTGGTATGTATCGCCGTCTTAACCAGTTGATTTCGTTAGTCACTTAGCTAAACAAAAAGAAAAAGAATTCCAACCCACAATTTTCTGATACATGGTATATACCTGAGCATAATACTTCAACTTTTTTTATTCGAATTGTAAAACTAACATTGATTTCTGTACTTGGAAACATTGAATTTGACTCTGTACCAGCTTTTTCTTCATCTTCATCTTCTGCAACACGAAAATACAAAAACTTCATTTCGTAGAACAAAACTCTTTGACTCTGCATAAAAAGATAAATTAAAAACCTAATCTTAATCAAACATGTCTTTGGAAGTTTCTGCTTGTTTTGGTCAACAATATATATAGCCAAATTAAGCTTCCAACTTCCCAACGAGTGTGTTTCTTTGTTTCAGTCTCTTTCCTCCATTTGGCTCTACTCAATCTTGATGATCCACTCGTGACATCGGAAGGGACTTGCATGCATTCGATAACCATACTGTATTATGTATAAAGTTATGTTTGTTACATAATCTGAATAACACGTAACTCTAAATGTGAAAGATGCATCATACAACGGATTTACATGAAATTATTTTTACTCAAATTAAGCAGGAAAGTGAATATCAAACACATTCGATCACCAACAAGAGTCCGTTTACATATTTTTCGAGAATCAGTTTATAGTGTACAATTGTAGAACCAGTATAGGGTTATTGATTGTTAATGATCTCAACAACTTCAAAAATCTTATGAATATTTGTATGTGTATTGTACCTAACCTTATAAACAACTAAAACAAACTAAATCACAACTTCATTCTCTTACTTCTTCTATTTTTTTATCATCTGTCTTTCTTTTCTCTCTTTTTGTGTTTGACTCTTAGTGAGCATCAAATGCTTGAAGAAATGCCTAGTTGACAAGTCTTGACAGTGTTCAATATTAATCTTTAATTCCATGTAGTCATATTTAACAAGCTTATAATTGTTAACATATGTCGACATAAGCCTTCAGCAGATTTTGCAAACATCAACATGTTCCTACGTGTTTGACAAAATAGTCAAATGAAGTTTTTTTTTTTTATTAAAATTATAACATCATTATTTAAAAATCTTAGATCCGTCGCATACCGAGTTCATAGTTAAAAACACATGACAAAACTCATAGTATGCATGCATGTCTCTTGCCTTAACCATATAAATTGTAAATCGGTAAACTTTATGCGAGGAACACATGTTTTTGGAGATGGTAAAAGCACACATGCATGCATTGCAAATCGAAATTGAATGGATTTGTACTTTGGTCTTGCTACATGAAAGTAGCATACAAAATCCCGCCGTACGAAGTGTCGGTCGTGGCACGTATGTTTGTCCTAAACTACATAAAGACTGAAAGCAACCGCTCGACTAGATTTGACTGCCATCGTGAGTGAATAATCCACTTGCCTAACCACAGTTGCTTAATTTTGTGATTCGTGATTGATCATTTTGTATCAAATTTGACGGGATATTTATATTATTTACATATTTAATTTTATTTTTTACACGTTATTTTTAATTTTTTATTATCGAATATAATGAACTGAAAATATAAATAATCAAAATTAATAAAAATGTGTAAAATAACATTATTCACACGGTTTTTATATCGATAATTAAAAAAAATGCTAGAAATAGTTGACTACAAATGACTCAATACTGAAAACACAGCTGGATGAGGAGTTTAAACCCTAGCTGCCTCAAGTGTAAGTGATGATTTGTATCGTATCATCTCTCAGCTATCTCGCGTTAATTTGTTGCTCGACCAACATACAAATGCATTGATTGACGGATACTCGTATAAAAAAAAAAAACTCTTCCCCCATAGGATGATGTTGGTTGCTTGGCACTCTTATTTCACCGTCGACTAACAATCCTAACTTGCGACACTCATCCTGCATCGGAAAATTTATGATGACTAATAATGCTTGCAAATTCAACAAAAGAATAAGTAGCAAGAACAGTGACATAGTCCCACTGGGCACATAAAAGATAAAGTTAGATGAAGAATCTAGTAATGCTTTTTTGGTTATGTTTATAACTCAAAATGTTGCACAATAATTCGATACCATCTAATGATTATGTCTATGAAATAAAACAAAAGTTGAAATTATTTTACAAAATTACAAGATGAAAAGGAGAGCCGAGATAGTAGATTTCATTTTATTTAAGCATTCTGACGTTCGATTATTGATGTAAAATGCATTGAAAAAGACTCTTTTAAAAGAGATTATTTACGAACTTTTAATCATTTCATGTTTTTAACATAATTTTATATTAATAATATAAAATATTATGTTTAAAAAATAAAATATGAGAATTCATGAAGAGTTGCGCTTGGAGAGAATCTCGTTAAAGT